AGGCCAGCTGTTGAGATTTAACCGTAAGTTCATGTATATTTAAGTAATCGGGTGTGCGGGTTATGATAAGGTGGACTTCAATAATTTGGATTCTTGCACTTCACTTGGTGGACTTAATATTAGAATGTTAGGGTTTGTAATCCAAGTGAGAAAATATACATTTTAAGACCTAACCAGGATCGACTGCGAAAAATGCAGCACAAGGTCCTCTGGTAGGAATTGAACCTACGGCCCTGCGATTCCGGTGCAGCGCTCTAACCAACTGAGCTACAGCTCGGCCAGCTGTTGAGCTTTAACCATAAGTTCATGTATATTTAGGTAATCGGGTGTGCGGGTTATAAGGTGGACTTCAATAATTTGGATTCTTGCATTTCACTTGGTGGACTTAATATTAGAATGTTAGGGTTTGTAATCCAAGTGAGAATATATACATTTTAAGACCTAACCAGGAACGACTGCAAAAAATGCAGCACAAGGTCATCTGGTAGGAATTGAACCTACGACCCTGCGATTCCGGTGCAGCGCTCTAACCAACTGAGCTACAGAGGCCAGCTGTTGAGCTTTAACCATAAGTTCATGTATATTTAGGTAATCGGGTGTGCGGGTTATGATAAGGTGGACTTCAATAATTTGGATTCTTGCACTTCACTTGGTGGAATTAATATTAGAATGTTAGGGTTTGTAATCCAAGTGAGAATATATACATTTTAAGACCTAACCAGGAACGACTGCGAAAAATGCAGCACAAGGTCCTCTGGTAGGAATTGAACCTACGGCCCTGCGATTCCGGTGCAGCGCTCTAACCAACTGAGCTACAGAGGCCAGCTGTTGAGCTTTAACCGTAAGTTCATGTATATTTAAGTAATCGGGTGTGCGGGTTATGATAAGGTGGACTTCAATAATTTGGATTCTTGCACTTCACTTGGTGGACTTAATATTAGAATGTTAGGGTTTGTAATCCAAGTGAGAATATATACATTTTAAGACCTAACCAGGAACGACTGCGAAAAATGCAGCACAAGGTCCTTATGGAAGGAAGTGAACCTACGGCTCTGTGATTCCGGTGCAGCGCTCTAACCAACTGAGCTACAGAGGCCAGCTGTTGAGCTTTAATCATAAGTTCATGTATATTTAGGTAATCGGGTGTGCGGGTTATGATAAGGTGGACTTCAATAATTTGGATTCTTGCACTTCACTTGTTGGGACTAATATTTGAATGTTAGGGTTTGTAATCTAAGTGAGAATATATACATTTTAAGACCTAACAAGGAACGACTGCGAAAAATGCAGCACAAGGTCCTCTGGTAGGAATTGAACCTACGGCCCTGCGATTCCGGTGCAGCGCTCTAACCAACTGAGCTACAAGAGACCAGCTGTCGAGCTTTAACCGTAAGTTCATGTACATTTAGGTAATCGGGTGTGCGGGTTGTGATAAGGTGGACTTCACTAATTTGGATTCTTGCACTTCACTTGGTGGAATTAAAATTAGAATGTTAGGGTTTGTAATCCAAGTGAGAATATATACATTTGCATATTCTCACTTGGATTACAAACTATTCTCATTTGGATTACAAAATATATACGCCAAATATATACATGTACTATACCGGTACATTTGTATATTCTCACTTGGATTACAAAATATTCTCACTTGGATTACAAAATATATACATGTATATATTCTCACTTGCATTACAAACCCTAACATTCTAATATTAATTCCACAAGTGAAGTGCAAGAATCCAAATTATTAATTTCAAATGCCCCGCCGGGGCTAAGCTTCGAGTGGAAATGCCCAACCCCCGGGATGTGCTTTACAGGAAAATGGCTGGGCGAGGGGGATGGGCACACTTGGATTTGGCTGATGCATTAAAAGTCCTGTGCTTTATATTCCAGACTGCTTGTCAAATATTTACTTGCTAGAAGTAGAAATTTACTCTGACAGCTGGATGAAGAAGACATTAAATAAGTACTGGTCAATAAACAGAAATGTATTTTATTTCATAGTATTACAATTTTATTTTTATACTATAAAAATAAAATATAAACATGCAGCATAGAATATGCAAATTCGAGGCAAAAGTATTGTTGAATCGGTTTATTTATAGGATTTATAACAAATAGCAACTATAAAAGTTTGTACCTTGTCTTCACATCGTAATAGCCAATGCTTTTAATTTTACATATTTTAGAATCAGTTCCTTTCCTGGTAACTGCATTTCTAAATGAAATCATCGTGAGTAGTGAGTGCTGAGCAGGCTGTTTTACTATAAACAAATTTTAGGAATTGTTAACAACTTTGAAAAATATATCGTTGCACATTCGGTCACAGTCGGAAAAATGTTCATGGTATGTTGTACCGTCGTTTGCAACTAACGATGAACAGTCGCTCATAAAAACATTCGCGTGATTAGAATCTTCAATGTTTGTCAAGAACAACAACACTTAATTGTTGTTTCCCATGTACTGTGCAATAAAAATAAGTAACAAAACTTTGTCTGAACTTGTTGGGCTAGAGACCTACTGGAAACTTTTACAGGCTTTTTAATGAGAATAGAGAATGTTTATCTGCAACTGTTCACCCTTAGTTGCCACCGACGGTATTTGATAACTGATATAAATAAAATACAGTCTGCATGGTTATACTGACTTGAGCGTGTCATGACAAACTCTTTATTGGAAAATTGTATAGCTACAGTATCATTGGTACATAGCGTTGTGAATACAAGCCTTTGCTTTAATACCTTTCGCTTCAGCAGTCTTTTTTTTCCATGCTTCTCTACGCTTTCCCAGGCGAGCTTCTCTTTCCTCAGCAGTCTCCTCGAGCAAACGTTGTCGTCTTCGCTGGCTCCCTCCTTTTCGCGAGACCGCCGAGACGTTCGGCTTTCTTATCGTTTCCTTGCCGCTCTTCATTTGGCTCCATACAGTAGTCCATATCTTTTCAATTGGTATTTGATACCATAATTGTTTTATTAAACTCTTTATAGAGCAAATTGCTTTGAAAGCTGTCAAAGTTTTTTGCAAACGTACAAAATACTGTAGTGTAAAAAGCAAATTATTTTCATGAAGTATCTGTCAGTTGAAGTCGTCATTTGTCATACAACAACAAATTTTAAATTTGACCAATCAGTGTTCGCTATCCATAACAGTCCGCCATATTTTTGAGATCAGTGAGGATGACCACCCATCGTTGGTGACCCACGCCCGCGATATTTGATGAACTTTAGACTCCGCTAATGCTTTCGTTTCCCCGGGTGTAAATAGCCGGGGGGAATTAGTACCCTCGCACGGCGCTTCGCGCCGCCGGCTCGGGGATTAAATCTTGTGTAGTATGTAGTGATTTCTGGAATGTGCCCAAATATTTTCAATGAGGCATACACAAAAAATTATTACCAATTTACCTAGCGATTGTGGGCGTACCGGGCGAGGGGGGCGGCAGCCCTCCCCCCCCCCCAGTTTGTTGGGCAAACAAAGCCAGTCAGGCAATATTCGCTTCACAGTCAGGCAATATTGGCTTATTGTAAAAATAAATGGGACAAATTCTGTCAATTTTGTGGGAAATTTTGTGGGAAATATGCTATCTAATAGGAAGTTTTCGTGATCACTCCAACCCCCCGGAAAATTTTTTTGTCAACTCTGGTACAATCTGAAAAAGTCGGGCAAATTTCTTTCCGCCCCCCTAATTTTTTCCTTCCCGTACGCGCATGCTAGCGATTATAGAATTCCAAGGCCAATTCAGAGCTTGCATACTGTTCTATTATTCTGGTGGCCCTAAAGATATTTTCATATTATTTAATGCCTGACCCTGATTTACTGTAATATCCGAACTGCTATTCCATTTAATTTCCGCGCACCCCCTGTCGTTATGCACCTGAAGAATTCATGGCTAAATACACTTACCCATGAGGAATTGCGAATTGGGAAAGTATAAAATCACCTTTGAGAAATTCCATGTTTTACCAACTTTTACCCTTTATAGGAAGTTGGATTTTTGTAAATCCTTTTCTCCATGTAGAAACCTGGAAAAGCATAAATAGTGCAGACAGTTTGAACCCATTAACAATTTGCTTTTGACGGACTACACTGATAAGTGTTCAAGTATAATTGGCAAAATAATTGCTGTCAATGATTTCATTTTCAGTGCTGGCAATGGACCTTTCCCCTTATAACTAAAATTTCGATCTAGACAAAAATTTCATCACAGCTTGAAAGAGCATCGCAAAATTAGTAATATTCCAAAATTTCGTTGCAAAATCTTGTAAAATGCGGATAATATAGCCTTGCGAAGTTTGCCGTTTTTCAGTCATTTTGTATTACAAACGGGAAATTGACATACGATTCGGGTGTTGGGGCTGCAATTTCGCGTTTGTAATGCCAAATGACTGAAAATTGCAAACTTCGCAAGGCTCTATTTTCCTCATTATACAACATTTCGTAACGAAACTTTGGAATATTACTAATTTTGTGATGCTCTTTCAAGCTGTGATGAAATATTTGTCTAGACTTGCCTAGATCAAAATTTTGGTTATAAGGGGAAAGGTCTATTGCCATTTGCCACTGATAGTTTTGACTTGTGGGGACTGAATGTATGAACTAAAGTCATTAAAATGCTAGTGGAATGATTATCCATTAACCATCAGTAACCACCAGTCAGGCAGCATGGGGCGTAGGTAAAAAATTACCCAAAAGCAGAGTGTGTAGTGTATTAATTTTATAACATAAATAATATTTACTGTAACTTTAACTTTAAGTCTTGATCTCGGAAAATCAGAATGATTTTGTGCATGTGATTTTACGTTTTGGTTGGGTGCCGGTTTGCAAGAACAACTGCAAACTGCTCTAATTCTTTCTGTCACTTTCATTTGGTCTTAGTATCTGTGAGTTGGCCTCAACAGCCTTTGATTTGAACTGGCAATTAGGACTGACATTGAGTATCATTCTATGTAGAGCAAGCATTGTATTACAACTCTGGTTTGATTCCAAGTCAATATGTTGAAGTGATGGTTGACAAAGACCGCTCTGGATTTCAACAAGTCCTCGTCACTTCAGTCATTGTTATCATCAGCACATCCCTGGTAATTTACACCATGACCACAGAATAGAGACCAACAGAAGTCTGACTTCTTGTTTGCACTTATGACACAGAATAAAGACACACAGAAGGTCGACTCCATGATTCATCACCAAAACGCTGACATCATGGTCCTAGCCAGTGCGCTTATGAGAGGCATTCCCCCCTGGATGTCTGCCATTTTGAATATTATCAGGGGGTGAATGCCTCTTATAAGCACACTGGTTGGGACGGTTATGCCAAAATCATAGGAAAAACCAAGAAGTCTGGCTTCTGTATCGTCTCTATTCTGTGCTTATGATATTGGTGTAACCAGGGTTGGTAAGTTAGATGAATAATTAGGCCAAATCATCATTAGTGCCGTTTAGAAAGCAAAGAAAACACAAGGCCAAGACAAAGAAAACAAAGGCCTAGTGTGACGGTGTTAGGCCTAATTATTCAGCAAACCTACCAACCCTGGGTGTAACCGTTGCAATGCTGTTACCATGTTCCTAGCCAGTGTTCTTACAGTAGGCATTCACCCCCCCCCCCCCTGTGTATATTCAAAATGGAGGATGTTCAGGGGGTGAATGTCTGGCACACTGGCTAGGAACATGGCAAGTGCATTTTTTTATTTTTTTTTTATTTTTTTCGCCCAATTACATAACAATAAGAAGTAGAATTAAATATTTACAAAATTAGGGCTAGGAACCTTCTAGAAACCAAAAGGCTTTTGTTTAAGGTCCCTAGGTAATAATTATATAACTAGCTATATTCATAATCTAGCATGCAGTTCGAATGTTGTTTTTTAAAGTCAGGAAATATATTATAATTAATGTACAATACATTACTGTAAAATAGTAAGCTGGAGTTGTATTACATTTGACAGAGAAAAATAGGTTTTTAACAAATAATGAAGAACGGGATATATATATTTACATTTACAAACTTTTTACTGGTGAAGTGAAACAAGGAATTGTAGATCACAGGACAAAGAATAATATCATTCTGGCTAATTTAAACAGAATTCCAGGTTAATAGTTTACCTAACATAGTCTGGTTAATTCAACCATATAGCGTGGTTAAATTAGACAGGATGGTAATCAAATTAATGGCCACATATAATCCAGGCCAATTTTATAAAACATTTATTGAGGTTGCGTGACATTATATTTTTGTGCTATATTTGCATCTCCAAAAATTCCTACTTTTGCCCAACTTTTCCTGAAATTTTAGTCCTACTTTTATCCCAAATGCCAGAAAGACTGCTGGCGATTTGCAATTTAATTGTTCTTTTTGTTGGTCAGGTTAAAAGTTTGGTGAGTTTTGTGTCTGGTGTTTTGTACGTGAACTGGAGAGGAAGTCTGACGAGATTTATCCAAAAATTTTATTTTGCTCAAGACAATTACTATGAACTGAATGTCCTACAACGAGATATTGATAACTTGTAAGTAAAATTAGAAAATGTACGAAAACATACACTTAAAGGTCGTTTTCCACCACTAGGCAGAATGTTTCGCGCGGTGCGGAATTTCTCTTTGTTTTTTCTAACGCTTGGTGGAAAACAGCGTTAGCCCACTGATTGCAATGCAGCGCTCTCCCCTTGACGAATAACATTTGAAATTTTCCTGCTCAAATTATCTACACAGAAAATTTCACATTGTTTAGAACGTTAGCGTGTGGGTTGATTGGCATTTGAGCACTTAACTTGCAGTAAAGCTCAATTTCTCATGCTTTGAAAATTTGGAAAATTCTCGCGACACTTTTTCTATTTCAACCAAGAATATGGGTAAAACTGGCCAGTGAAAAGGAACTGGCACTTGATGCCTCCTGCCCCTCTCCATTCCCCCACCAGGCACACCCCTTTTGCTGGCCCTGTGCGTGAGAATCTATTTTACTCTCTTTTGTAGAGATCAGAGAATCACTCAAGATGTGGATAAGTTCAGCAATCAGTTCAGCAATATTTTCTCAACTCTCGTCATTTACTGTGGGCTACTACACTTATCAGTGTTACAAAAGGTGTGCACGACCGATATAAGTTCGAATCTCTTTAAACACTTCTAAAGCTGTTTCCATTTATGCCAACATTCATGATCTAGCACGTTTTGTTAATGGAATGTTGTTAAACATTTATCTCACATCAAGGCTGCCTTTTGTTTGCCAAAACAATGCAAGTATTTCCTGTATAGTACACTTCGCAAGTTTCGTTTCGACAAATTTTCCTTGTCCAAAAACTGACATGCCCAGCTTTGCAACAAGACTCTCTGGCAAGGAATAATTGTCAATAGACCATTTGCATTATAGACTAAATTTTGATCTAAACAAGTCTAGACAAAAATTTCATGAACACAGCTTGAAAGAGCATCACAAAATTAGTAATATTCCAAAGTTTCGTTGCGAAATGTTGTAAAATGCGGATAATATAGCCTTGCGAAGTTTGCCGTTTTTCAGTCATTTTGCATTACGTGGGAGAAATTGAAAGCCCAATAAATTTGTAATCTAAAATGACTGAAAAACGGCAAACTTCGCAAAGCTATATTATCCGCATTTTACAACATTTCGCAACGAAACTTTGGAATATTACTAATTGTGTGATGCTCTTTCAAGCCGTGATGAAATTTTTCTCTAGACTTGTCTATAATGCAAATGGTCAATTTTTTGCCCTACACACGAGTAAATAGAACTTTTCAAGGAAAAATTACCTGTCCTGTACAGGGCTTTGCTATACAAGATAAATCTTTGCACACTAACATTAATACCAGGTATCCAGTATTATCATGTGACCAAATTAAACCAACATCGTTGGCTAATTTACTCATTAATTATTAACGAGTTTGAGATGTATATATACCAAATATTTTCCTGGTATAAAAGATCTTTTTCTGGGAACTGATTTCCATATTTTGAAACACCAAATTCTTGTTTACGTATTTTAACCAATTGGAAGTCAGTATCAATATGAGGTGACGACCTTTGATCACAAGACATTAGATATTCTATTTCTTGCCAGAATATTCCTGTCTGTCCATAGCCTACGGTGTAGACCCCTCACGAAACGTGTTTCTGCTGGGGTCTACACCGTAGGCTAGTCTGTCCATTGAACACTTCATGCGGAATAGCGATATTTGTCTGCTGCTCTAAACAGACCATTTTGTTAAAGATTTCAAGCAAATACTAACACAGACTTTCTCGAAGAACGAACACTGTATCTACATTGTGTCTATATAGCGAGGTTTACACTACAAAGCGACTAACATCAACACAGAACTTGCTTTCTTTATATTACGAGAGAAGAATGGCGTGAAATTTATGGCGTCTTATATACAAGGCTATGATGAGGAAAGATTCGCAAGCAAAGTTAATCGAAATTTCCTCTGTTTGATTTGCTTCAATGTCCTTAAAGACCCGGTTCTGTGTCCGAGAAATCAACATTGTTTCTGTCGTGCTTGTATTACGAAACATCTCGAGAATTCTCAAAGATGCCCTACGTGTGCGAATGAACTGACGGTAGAGACTTTGGCCAAACCACAAAGGATGATAAAAGATTATTTAGATGAATTAAATATTCATTGTGTTTACAACAACAGGGGTTGTGAAGAGATCGTACAACTGCAACATCTTGACAACCATGAGGCTACATGTGGATTTACTCCAGCCGTTTGTACAAACCCAGACTGTGGTGTAATTTTAAGCCAGCGTGATCTTGTTAACCACGAAAGTGAACTATGTGAATTTCGCAAGTTGAAGTGCAACTCGTGCGGACCAACGGCAATAACGTTGGGCGATAGAATGGCAACGATGGCGACAAATCTGGCGACTGTCGAGACAAATGTGCGGACCAGTATGACAAAAATGGCGACTGTGGTTGCCATGGAAACCTGCATGAATGATGTACAAGCGAATGTACAGACACAAATTGCAAATGTGGAGAAGAACATGGAGAGAAATACCGCAAACACAGGAAAACTCGAAGCAGTGAATAATGAGATGAAAGGATTGAAAACAGCTTTGATTGAAGGTCTTGATGAAATGAAGGATGTTCTTGTCAAGATGGAGGACAAGATAGAAGGAAATGCAAGAAAAGTAAGAAATACAGCAAGTGGTGACAAGGAAAATATAATTGTTGCTGGAGGTAATCGAACTAACTCTGTAGAGATGTTTAACTGGCGTCGAGGAACATGGTCGCCATTACAATCCTCGGCAAAGAAGCGTTGGGGAGCAACTTTGTTTGTATACAACAATCATGTGACAATTGCTGGAGGTTGCTGTTTTGGCCTTGTCGATGATATGATTAGAATGAATATAAACCCATACCCTGATCTCTCAACACACTGGAGTGACTGTCCTGTTAAACTGCCTGGTACGTTGGCATTCCATAGCAGTGTGCTGTATAATGATCAGCTAATAGTCACTGGTGGTAATAATGGAAATGCAGTACCGGTATCTGACTGTATTGATGAAGTCCAGCTTACCCCTCCTTATACCGCGAAGACCTTATCAAGAATGCCAGAACCAAGAATGCACCACAGCACGCAATTATTTGGTCATAGTTTGTTGATCGTGGGTGGAAGTACAACTTTCTGTCACCAAGACAGCCTCAGCAGTGTCGTATTGTATGATATAAAGAAGAATGAATGTAAACAGTTGGCACCACTGCCGTATGAAGTGAGTGGGATGGCAACTGTGCGATGGGGAGACAACATCATTGTTATAGGCGGCATTGACAAATGTGGCAATGTATTAGATACAGTGATCATTTACAATGTCAAGACTGAACAAAGTCACTTGTTGCCGCCAATGAGATGCAAAAGACAGAGATTTACTGCCGTTGTTATTGGAAACAACATTGTAGTACTGGGAGGAAGGGATGCGGTAGAACGTGACTTAAAGTCAGTTGAAGCTTTCAACTTCGAAAGTTGCATTTGGCAAGAACTTCCAGAAATGTCTCGAACAAGATGGTGGCACACTGCTGTTGTTGTGTGAACAATGTAAGAATGTTGAATTCATTTCTTTAAGATAACAAATTGACTTTAATCATATTATGAACCTCTAAATTGGACTAAAAATCATATATGAGAAATTGTAGTATTATACTATGATAGTTTGGTATGTGTAATCAAAATTATACTCAGTTTTTAACGATGCATATGGTAATATTGAATTAATTTTTTGAGTGAAAAGTATACCCTAGTTAAACAAGGATGAGAGTTGATGAGCAGGGCCCCGCAGAGAGGTTGGCGGGGGCCCGGGGCAAATTTTTTGTGGGGGGCCCTGTGAAAAAAAATTTTCCGGTAAAAGTTCGGTCAGTGTACCATTTTAGGGGTAAAAAAATTTTTTCCGGAGTAAAAAATTTCCGGATGAGTACGTTGTAGATACTTTCCAGGGACTTTATCTCATTTTTCTAAGCCTTATTTCGGTACTTAGCCAAATAAAACAGATATCTTGTCCTTTGCGCGCAAATATTTAACACACAAAAAAGTCTGGGGCCCAACAAAAATTTTTCAGGGGCCCCCACCACCTCGGGGCCCGGGGCAATTCCCCCCCCCTGCCTCCCCCCTCTCGGCGGCCCTGTTGATGAGAGTTGTAACCAGAGTGTTAGCTAGCCCATATACTGTCCGTTTGACGGACTCTTCCCAGTTGAGGGCTTTCCCAACTGGGTCTACTGGAAAATTGGCACATGTCCCCCAAAATGTTTACAGTCGGGCAAAAATGAATGCGAAATTGGGCAAAACATAAAAATTTCGGGAAAATTTTGATATGCCGCGAAAAAATATTTGGATTTGGCGAAAATTACTTGATGTTACGGAATATTTGTGATATTTTCGGGAAATTTTTTTGATATGTCCGGGAAAAAATTTTTGGGTAACTTCCCCTAACACCTCGCTCGCCAAGAATTTAATTAAGAATTTTGGGGAAAAATATTAATGTTCAGTTAAAACTTTCCCAATTTACCTTTAACAGACAAAAATTTTTTCTGGCTAACACCCTGGTAACTCTCGCTCGTGTTTGAGCGCCAAATCTCATCGTCTGCTCTTGCATTAGATCTATTATGGAATATGCGTGTCAGGTCTTTCATATAGTAATCTGCCATCATATTTGTCGAATGAAATCGAAAGGATTCAGAAACGAGCAATGCATATGATCTTTCCAGACCTCAGTTATAATGATGCGCTTGCAGAGACTAAACTTTTCAAACTTGGTGTAAGATGGGAGAAATTGAGTGGTGATTTATTTAGTCATATTGTTAGGAATGGCAATCATAAATTAGCCCATCTATTACTTCCTATAGAGTTAATGTATCTCGGAACATGAGGAATCTTAGAATTTTTGAAATTCCGGTGTGTTGGACAGATCGGTTCAAGAAATCATTTATAGTACATTTCGCTGACATTTTTAACTTAGATTCGTAATTTTATATCTTTAAATTTTTCTTAATTAATCTTGGAAATATAGCATAAATTTTACGCGATTCATTGTAAGAGTTTTTCTGCGTAATTCAGTCTTTGACTGCAAAGCTAGCCTGAGTGTCAGACGAATAACGAATCATATTCGTCTGACACTCAGGCTACTGCAAAGCTGGTACCTTTTGTAATAAAACGATTTATATATCTGTCATCGTCAACCGTTAATGACATTAATCAGGTTTAAAATTTTGATAATATGATCGTTAATATTCAGTTAACTCTTATCAACCCTCATGCAACTCTTGTTCTCATTTGAGAACATTTTCATGAATGCAAACTCTCGCTCGGTTAGGATGTAAGCAAATGAACAAAATAAACATATTATGGACGATTCCAAGAGTTAATAGCATAGGATACTTTTGAACTCACTGCAAATAATCCCCGAGTATTTTGAACCAAAAACGTGAGGAAAATACAGTCTGAGGCAAAGCCGAATACTGCAGCCAACTATGAGGACTTGAAATGCTGAAGTTTTGAAATGACATGTCATGCTCATATTGACATGTTGATATAGTGCAGTAAATACGTAAACACGTGTTGAATTTAAATTTCCATACACATACATGAAAATCTCACATCTCGTAGAGATGGATGAGACTACGCAGGCAAATGTAGCTTTTAAACTGGATGCATGATTTGCAAGATCGTTCTAGTATCCACTCAGTCCCAGCGGGCGACTTGTGGCAAGTCTATAAAGTATTCAGCGAATTACACACGTAAAAATCTCGCATTTTGTCAACAAGATGTGTTCACAACTTCCTTGTAGTAAGCTTGTCAACAAGTTGTAACAATGTTGTTATTATTTCAAGTTGCTACATGGTTGTCACTTACAACTTCTTAACAAGTTGTTGAATTGCAGGACGATAACAAGTTTTTGGAACAAGTCTCTAAAGCCAGGTTCACACTAGGCAACAATTCTGTCGGCGATTTTTCTCCTTCTGGCAAATGTGATCGAGTGAATGACATACAAAAGACTTCTGAAAAGTGACTCTATACTTTTGTGTGCGAGTTCACTCATTTGCATCCTTCAGAAAGACAAAATCGCCGAAAAAATTGCTAGCGTGAACCAGGCTTTAAGTTCGACAACCTTGCAGCAACAAGCTGGGAAACAATTTATATTTTGTGATTTTCAAGTCAAAATCGTTTTCGAAAAGCTACTGTATATTACTAAATTACTAAAAAATAAAGTTAGGGCTGCCTTACTGTATTTTGAAGAGAACAGCCGACATGGAAATTAGACCGCGGAGAAAAGACAAAAAAACCGCGACTTACGTTAATAACCCGCGAAAAATACCCGCGACCCACGGAAAAAACCGCGACCCGCGACAATTAGACTATCTCCATCTTGTAGCAAGTCTGCCATTGGACCTTTAACCTTATAACTAAAATTTTGATCTAGACAAAAATTTCATCACAGCTTGAAAGAGCATCACAAAATTAGTAATATTCCAAAGTTTCGTTACGAAATGTTGTAAAATGCGGATAATATAGCCCTGCGAAGTTTGCAATTTTCAGTCATTTTAGATTACAAACGGGAAATTGATACCCAAATCGGGTGTTTGGGTATCAATTTCCCGTTTGTAATCTAAAATGACTGGAAATTGCAAACTTCGCAAGGCTACATTATCCGCATTTTACAACATTTCGCAACGAAACTTCGAAATATTACTAATTTTGCGATGCTCTTTCAAGCTGTGATTAAATTTTTGTCTAGACTTGTCTAGATCAAAATTTTAGTTATAAGGTTAAAGGTCCATAGGCCCAACAAGCCGTCAACAAGTTGTGTTCGCACTGCTTGTCCCAAGTTGTCAACAAGTATGGACAACCTTGTTAACAGTTGTAACAAGCGTTGAAGGTTTTTTAGATCTAACCAGGAGGCTGGAGCAGTTACGAAAAATGCAACTACAGACCCTCTGGCAAGAATTAAACCTGCGTCCCTGCAATTCCGGTGCAGCGCTCTAACCTCTAACCGACTGAGCTACAGAGAGACAGTTGTCGAGCTCTAACCGCAAGTTCATGTTGTTTATGTATATATACTAAATATTTTCCTGGTATAAAAGATCATTTTCTGGGAACTAATTTCCATATTTTGAAACACGAAATTCTTGTTTACATAATTTAACCAGTCGGAAGTCAGTATCAATATGAGGTGACGACATTTGATCACAAGAAATTAGATATTCTATTTCATGCCAGAAAATTCCTGTCTGGTAAAGACCCTTTGAACACTTTATGTGGAAGCGATATTTATCTGCTGTTCTAAACCGACCATTTTGTTAAAGATTTCAAGCAAATACTAACACAGACTTTCTCGAAGAACGAACACTGTATCTACATTGTGTCTATATAGCGAGGTTTATACTACAAAGCGACTAACATCAACACAGAATTTGCTTTGTTATTACGATCGAGAAGAACGGCGTGATATTTATGGCGTCTTATATACAAGGTTATGATGAGGAAAGGTTTGCAATCAAAATTAATCGAAATTTCCTCTGTTTGATTTGCTTCAATGTCCTTAAAGACCCGGTTCTGTGTCCGAGAAATCAACATTGTTTCTGTCGTGCTTGTATTACGAAACACCTCGAGAATTCTCGAAGATGCCCTACGTGTGCGGACGAACTGACGGTAGAGACTCTAGCAGAACCCAACAGAATGGTAAAAGATTATTTAGATGAATTAAATATTCATTGTGTTTACAACAACAGGGGCTGTGAAGAGATCGTACAACTGCAACATCTTGACATCCACGAGGCTACATGTGGATTTACTCCAGCCGTTTGTACAAACCCAGGCTGTGGTGTAACTTTAAACCAGCGTGATCTTATTAACCACGAGAGTGAACTATGTGAATTTCGCAAGTTGAAGTGCCACTCGTGCGGACAAATGGCAAAAACGTTGGCAGATATGGAGAAAAGAATGGCAACGATGGCGACAAATCTGGCGACTGTCGAGACAAATGTGGCGACCAATATAGCGACTGTGGTTGCCATGGAAACCTTCATGAATGATATACAAACAAATGTGGCGAATGTACAGACTGTGGTAGAGACACAAATTGCAAATGTGGAGAAGAATATGGAGAGAAACACCACAGACATAAAAACAGACATGGAAGGAAAACTCGAAGCAGTGAATAATGAGGTGAGAGGATTGAAAACAGCTTTGGTTGAAGGTTTTGATGAAATGAAGGATGTTCTTGTCAAGATGGAGGACAAAATAGAAGAAAACGCAAGAAAAGTAAGAAATACAGCAAGTGGTGATAAGGAAAATATAATTGTTGCTGGAGGTTATGGAACTGACTCTGTAGAGATGTTTAACTGGCGTCAAAGAACATGGTCTCCATTACAGTCCTTGCCAAAGAAGCGTTATGCAGCAACCTCATTTGTTTTTAACAATCATGTGACAATTGCTGGAGGTTGCTGTTCTGACTTTGTCGATGATATGATTAGAATGAATATAAACCCAAACCCTGATCTTTCAACACATTGGAGTGACTGTCCTGTTAAACTGCCTGGTAAGTTGGTATACCACAGTAGTGTGCTGTATAATGATCAGCTAATAGTCACTGGTGGTCATAACGGAAATGGAGTATCAGACTGTATTGATGAAGGTCAGCTTACCCCTCCTTATACTGCGAAGACCTTATCAAGAATGCCAGAACCAAGACTGTACCACAGCACGCAATTATTTGATGATAGTTTGTTGATCATGGGTGGAAGTACAACTGCCAGTTACCCAGACAACCTAAGCAGTGTCGTATTGTATGATATAAAGAAGAATGAATGTAAACAGTTGGCACCACTGCCGTATGAAGTGAGTGACATGGCAACTGTGAGATGGGGAGACAACGTCATTGTTATAGGCGGCATTGACAAACGTGGCAATCGATTAGATACAGTTATCATTTACAATGTCAAGACTGAACAAAGTTGCATGTTGCCGCCAATGAGATGTAAAAGATGGGGATATGCTGCCGTTGTTATTGGAAACAATATTGTAGTACTGGGAGGAGAGGATGAGCAAGGACGTTCTTTAAAGTCAGTTGAGGCTTTCAACTTTGAAAGTTATACTTGGCAAGAACTTCCAGAAATGTCTCGAGCAAGATGGCGGCACACTGCTGTTGTTGTGTGAACAACATACGAATGTTGAACTCATTTCTTTAAGATAACAAGTTGACTTTAATCATATTATGAACCTCCAAATTAGACTAAAAATCCTGTGGGAAATTGTAGTATTATACTGTGATAGCTTGGTATGTGTAATCAAAATTATATTCAGTTTTTTAACCATGCATATGGTATAATATTGAATTAATTTTTTGAGTGAAAAGTATACCCTAGTCAAACAAGGATGAGAGTTGATGAGAGTTGTAACTCCCGCTCGTGTTTGAACGCCAAATCTCATCGACTGCTCTTGCTTTAAATCTGTTATGGAATATGCGTGTCAGGTCTTTCATAGTAATCTGCCATCATATTTGTCGAATGAAATCGAAAGGATTCAGAGACGAGCAATGCATGTGATCTTTCCAGACGTCAGTTATAATGATGCGCTTGCGGAGACTAAACTTTCCAAACTTGGTGAAAGATGGGAGAAATTGAGTGGTGGTTTATTTAGTGATATTGTTAAGAATGATAATCATCAATTGGCGTATCTATTACCTGCTAGAGTTAATGTTTCTCGGAACATGAGGAATCCTAGAACTTTTGAAATTCCGATGTGTTACACAGATCGGTTCAAGAAATCATTTATAGTGCATTTCGCTTACATTTTTAACTTAGATTCGTAATTTTATATTTTTAAATTTTTCTTTATTAATCTTGCAAATATAACATAAATTTTACCAAGTTCGTTGTAAGAGTTTTTCAGCGTAATTCAGTCTCCGACTGCAAAGCTGGTACCTTTTGTAATAAATGATTTATATATGTCATCGTCAACCGTTAATCCGGTTTAAAATTTTGATAATATGATCGGTAATATTCAGTCAACTCTTATCAACCTTCATGCAATTCTTGTTCTCATTTGAGAACATTTTCATGCGCGCAAACTCTCACTTGGTAAGGCTGTAAGAAAATGAATAAAATAAGCGTATTATGGATGATTCCAAGAGTAGCATAGGATACCTTTGATTTCACTGCAAATAATCCCCGAGTATTTTGAACCAAAAACACCCACAGTCTGAGGCATAACCGAATAGGCCTACTGTAGCCAACTATGAGGACTTGAAATGCTGCCAGTCTGATTTTGAAGTTTGAAATGACATCTTATGCTCATAAATCAATATTGATAGTGCAGTAAATAAATAAACACGTGTTGAATTTTAATTATACCGTACACACGGAAGAATCTCACATCTTGTAGCAAGTCTGCCAAAAAGCCGTCAACAAGTTGTGTTCGCACTGCTTGTCCCAAGTTGTCAAGAAGTTTGGAACAAGCTGTTAGCAACTATTAACAATCTCGTTGACTTGTTGCAAGGTTGTTCCAACAAGTCCGATATACAGTCGTGATATAACAATATTTTTTAAACCTAGGTGGTGCCATCAACCTTGTAACATTCTTGTTATATCATGACTGTGTCAGACTTGTTAGAACAACCTTGTCGATCAAGTCTGATAATGCCATCGAGCTTGTTACAAGTTGTTAACAGCTTGTTCCAAACTTGTTACAACAACTTGGAACAAGCAGTGCGAACACAACTTGTCGACAGCTTGTGAACAGATTTGTATCAACTTGTTTGCAGACCTGTAGCAACGTGTGCGTTTTTACGTGTGTGTAGACACGTAAAACAAGTTGTAACAAACTTGCAGCAGAGTTGTAGCAATGCTGTTCCAATGACATGCCATCAACCTTGTTACAAGATGATAACAACTTGTTCCGGACTTGTCAACAACTGGGAACAAGCAGTGCGAACACATCTTCTTGACAAGCTGTGAGATTTTCACGCGTGTAAGACACTTAAAATTAATGCAAAATAATATCAAAATTGTCTGGGACAATAATGAAATGCCTTCAAATGGACCTCTAGACTCTAGGTGAACAATATCGAACTCATAGAGCTATCCAGTATAAAGTTACTCAATTTATAAATTACCAATGAGTAAAACTAACGTTGAGTTTATATTTATTATTTGAAGAATTTCACAAAGGGTGCAATGACGAAGATCTTATTGAGTATCACCAAACTTAAAGAAAGATCACATTTATTATCGTGCCTGGAAAAGGTAAGCTTTCTCAATAGATTTATGCATTCTAGACACGTTTTATGATAATCATATTTTATGTCATGGATGAAGACATTACGAGGTTACGCCCCCCAGTTTCTACTCAGTTTTGACAGAATTACAAAATTGGCACTGACGAAAAGTGTGTGGGGGGGGGGACAGCGTACCTCACCGTTCCACCCGTGGGTACGACTCTGTTTTCTGTTTTTGTTAAAGGAAATAGAAACGGCAGGCAAAACAGTATTTTGTAAATAGATTTAATCTGGATGAGCAAAAACAAACACAGTGAATAAGCCCAATGAAATGATCAATCGTTGCAGCAATGGGAGTAAACCGTGAACTACTAGAATTGCCGTCCAATATTCATAGGAAGGTCGCCGAACACCATTTTCCGCAGCTAATTCCAGTTTCTTCTAACGGACCGTATCGCTAAACAGGTTATCAGTTCATAAAACCATAGTGTTATTCTTTAAAAGGATGTCCGCAGAATACGAAATTTCGTCACACGTTTTGCTAGCCTGTGTTCCAGTCCACTGACTGGAGGTTAACGTCTTGCCATCTTTGTGCCAACCGCGCAGACAAAATCAATAGAAAGGGACTGGTGACGTCCAGTAGATCTTCAATTTCCGCCATCTTTGACCTTCACTTTTTGGACTCGATTTCCCACTCCAGATATATATGGAGCTCACTGTGATATCACATTCTTTTGTAGGAAGTTCATGAAGAAGGCAAGCTGCCAAATGTGTTGTAATCGCTAAAAAACATCCTTCAAACGCCGATCAAGCCATTTGTTTCCGCGGATAACTCGGATTTGGTCGAAGGACACGCGCCTTCCCCCTGCCCGCATCCTGATGACCTGCCTATAAACTATCATCTAAAAACCAGTCCACAAATGCAATGGGATGGAGTGATTTTTGTTAGAAATTTCTTCCCTTTTTCCTAACCTGCATTCATAAAAATTCTAACATTTTAGCGTTTCGTAACGACTCATTTCTTTTCAAAACAAGAATTTCATCTGTTCTTACACTGCAGTAAACAAGCTTAGCCGACTACCAACTGTTGAAGCAATAAACTAGATAAAAAATGACCGACTTAAATTTTGTCTAAACTTATCGCACATTTGTAAAATTATACTTTGAGCCACCCACTTTCTCAACCACAGACGTTTGAATAATTTTGAAAGCACTGCTTTGCTGGAAACGCCAAGTTCTTGTTGTCTTTTAAAGTTATCTGCAATCGTCAAATGATTTGTTATTTTGTTGTGATTCTATCCA